AATTAAATTTATGAATTTTTTATTACCATCACCACCATCATTATCATATTATTGTTATCATACTTAAAATAGAAATGTTATAAGATGTTTTATTTATTATTTATAAATATAATTACAAATATATTATTATTAAATGACATTTTAATAATAATAATAATAATGTTTTGCCATATATTGTCTAATTTATAAGTGTTTGCTACTATAATTATATTTATGAATGTTTTTTATTACTATCACCATCATTATCATCATATTATTGCTATTATACTTAATAAATAATAAAACATGTAATAACATTTATATATAAGTATAAGTACTTGCTACTAATAATAATACCAATAATATTAGATAATGATGGTGATAGTAATAAAAAATATTAATTATAGTAGCAATAATATGTATAAATTAGACAATATATGGCAAAACAGTATTATAATTATTATTATTAAAATGTCATTTAATAACAACAACAACAATAATAGATTTTTTATATTTATAAATAATAAAACGGATATAATGCTTCTGTTTTATTTATAAATCTAATTACACATTTATTATTATTATTATTATTAAATGACATTTTTAATAATTATTCTAATAAAGAATAATAATTATAATACTAATCATTTTCATCATATTATTGCTATTATACTTAAAATAGTATTACTTGTTTTATTTATAAATATAATTACAAATATTATTATTATTATTAAATTACATTATTATAATTGTTTATAATTGCTGTTCAAAATGTTTTGCAATCTATCGTCTAATTGATAAATATTATTGCCTCTATAATTATACTTTTTAATATGTAACATAACAGCAACAATAACTATTACCGTATTGTCCCGAATATAAGACGATGTTTTTTTCTTGGAAATACATCTGAAAAAACGCGGTCGTCTTATATTCAGGGTCTAGACTTTGACATGTCAATAATACACCCACAACACTAGGTGGCGCCAAATACGTATAAAACGAGTGTGCCATGAAATACTAATGTAATGTTGTAAAGATCGCGAATAAAAACAAAAGAAAAAGAAGTCCTGACATGTAAAAAGAGTTGTGACTGTCACGTTAGCCTGATGGGCCCAAACTCTCTTTGTGATTCTAAAACGTACCACAGTACCCAGATTTGAAGACTA